GGTTTGGGGAGGCGCAATCACGATCTGGTTGGGATCTCAGTGTGGACTCGTTCTCTATGATGAAGGATGGCGCTGCCTCCCTGGCAAATGGGATCGGAGGAAGGGGCTCTACGTCGTCAATGTCGGCGAGGCAGCCGCCGAAGGCGAGCCCGACGGTGAGCAGGGTGTTCGTCCCATGAAATAGGCGGCCACAGAGGGCGGATCTGAGGCCACCCCAATCGCCGGTAGCCCTTCCTCCCATCGCTCATCGCCTCCATTCTCTCTCTCCTCTAAATCTTTGTCGCCCCTGCCTGATTCTGGCCGACGCCATCCGGCTCTCGCATCGACCACCACCAGCACGGCTGCGGACGAGGCGCAATCGCAGACGCTGCCGCCGCCATCCTCATCCACCTCCTCCACCATCCTTCCCAGCCGTCATCGGGGGCACCCGCGATCTGCGCTCTAGCCCACCCGCTCCCTCCTATCCCCTCCCCCTGCCTGCCAGCCCCGTGATCCATCGCACAGATGGCAGGTACTACAGCGACCTCCTCCCCAGCGGATCCGGCCTCCTCCGATGGAGATCCATCCTGGGCACCGCCTTATTCTCATGCGTGCACATCTATATCAATGTCTCATTCCACCTCACCTCACCTGAGCCTTTACCTTCCCACCTCTGCTTCAGATCCACATCACTTTGCAAGGTATGTGCTTGATTGTTCCGAACTGGATCGATGGATTATGCAAGGTACTTTGGGTGTCGTCATTGACGGCAATTGTCACGCCATGCTACCATCGGAGGGGTCCCTCATCGATGATTAGGGTCTTCCGAACTGCACGAGCTCCATTGAGAAGGATGTTTTTAATTCTGGTTTTGCCTACATGCTTTCTTTGCCTGTATCTACTTAGCTAATGTCTTCTTATAGATAGTAGCTGCTGAAGTGGTGATCAAAGTTGTTCACTATAAGGAAACAACCATGATAACAAAAGTGTATATTCCCTGACCTTTGACCTGAAGTACTTTTTCATTAGAAACTTGCAACAGCCAGGCATTGAAATTAGCAATAGCTTCGTACGTACTGAACTAATTTGCAGCAACAGGTACTGAACTAAGTTAGGTTATGCTCATCGTTCCAACATGCTTAGTGATAACCACCTAGCAAGCTGATCAAACATGAAAAAATTGAAGTGCTACTGCTAATCGTACTATTCTGAATGTGAAAATCTATTTAATTGGCTCTTCTCTAATTGTACACTTGCATAAATCTCAGATCTTGCAAATTACAGTATAACCATAAAAGTCATGCTTTGACTCCTATAGGGCCTTTTGCACTTTAATATGACTAATAATTTGTCTTAATATCACAGATTGTATTACTACCTTTCTAAGTGAATGACATTCAAGAAGGTCATTAAATAAAACCAAGAAATCCTTCTGGTATTGGAGTGTAGGAAAGTTGAGACTATAAAACCAAAAGGTTATATTTACGTTTATTAAAGAAGGTTCTTTACTTTTTATAGGAAAACACAAAATGTTGCGATGTAGAGTCTAGGTGGTGGGCCTCCTTGATCCACTTGGTGGATGAGGGCGACTCCGGTCCTGGCACCCATAGTGCCAGTGATCCAAAAATCATAGGGCCTGGATATAGCTCTAGCAGACGTATGCGGCTTGCGCATCGAGCTTGGTCGTCTCGAGCATGGAGATAGGCAAGTTGTAGACCAAGAGCTGGTACAGAGATAGGCGAGTTGTAGACAAGAGCTGGTGGGCAGCAAGAAACGCATGCACACCAAAGAACAAATCTGAGTCACATGCCTACTTCTATTGGTTTCTACAAAGAGCGGCTAGCTTAGATCTTAGACCAGTCGGTCACTGTCGAGGTCGCCAAGGTGATCTTACAGCACCGCCGTGGGGATTTCTCATGATTTTATGTAGGCAAGCCGCAAGCGGTGGTGGTGATTGGTTGGGTGGTGTCGCTGCCTTGGGAAGAGACGAAGTGATGGTAAAAGTAAGCAGGATCCGATGATTCTTCCGTGGGGATAGCCAAAGTCAAGATGTCGACTACAGACTCGTCGCAGACTTGGAGTGAACCTGGATGCGGCAAGCCTGATTTGTGGATCGATGGCGGGTCTTGACTTTGTTAGGCCGGGATTGGATGGTTGCGGAGGGTGGTGTGCTTGATTGGGTTCCCATGGAAGAATGTGGCCTCCTCGTGGATCTGGTCATGCCCATCCTAGAGAACATTGTGTCCCTAGCTCCCTCGAGGAGTAAGGACAGTGCAAGCGGCAGCAGGGGGTAGGGGTAGATGTGGGGAGGGATGTCGGCGGCTGCTCGAGGTCATCATGATGAAACCCTTGACGTCCCATCTTTATCAATGGAAGTGGAAGAGCACGAAGTCGAGATTGGATAGGAGTTTGAGTTCTTTTTGGCACCGATCGGTTCCCCACTTTAGGGATGTATTTTTTTGCGTGCGAGCAAACAGTTGGTTGATTCTAAAAGGGATAGGCACTTTTCAACAGAAGTGCATGACGGACCAAAAATATGACCTCATTTTATTTGTTTGATAGATATCGTATTATTTGTTGTTGTTCGTTCGGTGAAATTTCCTAATATTTGATTGTTGTGTTTCTAATTAGAGCACCCCATAATCACCCAATATGAGGGGATGATAAATGAAAGATACTGATTATAAATTTTAAAGAGCCCGTGGCAATGCACGGGCGTTATACTAGTCACTTATAATTTTTGAGGAGTTAGAGCATCTCTAGCTATTGGCCCCTCAGGGGACGCGTAAAATCGCCGCCTGGAGGCGAGTCGGCGCAAACGAACGGTCTGGGGCGAGTTGGTATCCAGTCGCCAGCCTCAGGGCTGCCCCCAGATGCGTCTAATTTTCTTTAAAAAAATGATTCGGTGAAGTTCGGTTAAAAAACGGCCTATTTCGGCAAACTTTGACATATATTAGACATATTCGTGACTTACATAGCAAATTTATCTAAAAAAGAAATCACTAAACACGGAGTAGTTGCCGTCGTCGCCGCCATCCTCACCGCTGTCGGCGGCGGCCTTCTCCTCCTTGACACAGTCGTCCCTGCTGGACCCCTGCCCGGCGTCGCCATGGCGGACAGGTGCCGGCGGCGGTGCGTCGTCGTCGTCGCTGTCGTCGAGGACGACGACGCCTCCTTCGTCGCGGCCCCGGCGGCGCTGCTCGAAGCGCTGCAGGGCGGCGCACTGGCGCTTCATCTGCATCTCGACGTAGTCCTTGTGCACCCATTTCAGGACCGCCTCGTCGTCGAGCTCCACGTCGCCGTGCTCCGTCTTCACGGCGGGGAGCGTCGGCTCGGTTTTCACGGCGGGGAGCCCTGGCTCGGTTTTCACTGCCGCGAGCCCCGGCTCCGTGTTTGACTTGACGAAGCATGGTGGAGCCGACGAGGAGGCGCGCCGGCCACCCTCGTTGATGACGATGCCGATGCTACGAGTGCGCCGGCCGAGCGGCGTCCCCGCCACGGGCTCGGCCTTGACGCCGAGCAACGCCGGAGTGCCGGAGGAGTGGGAAGATGAGCGTGAGAAGGAGTGCGAGGAGGAAGAGGAGGAAGCGGCGAACCTCCTGGGCATCCATTGCCCCGCGCGTCGGCGCGGGGCGGCCGCCGGAGGGTATGCCAGTGGCGGTTCGTTGCCCCCCTCAAGGTGCGTCAGCACGCCCTCGAGCGTGAGGCAGGGGACGCCCCACCACACGCGGCGGCCGTCACTGTTCTTCACGCCGCCGACCACCGGCGCCCCGTTGGTGGACGCCAGCCTCTGCTCCTGACGGCGCTCGAAGTACGCCGCCCATGCCTCGTGGTTGTCGGCGGCGTACTGGGGGAGGACGCGCTGCTCGTCGGTGAGGGAGGCGCGCACGAGGTCGACCTCGGCGGCGAAGTAGGAGGATCACGCGTCGGCGTCGGGCAACGGGGGAACATGCACTCTCCCGTTGCTGAGCCTCCACCCCATCGGCCCGGCGCGCATGTCCGGCGGCGCCAGGATGTTGGCCTCGAACAGGAGCCACGACTCCTGTTCGTGGAGCGAGCGACGGTCGAAGCCGTTGGCCGCCGTCGCGTCGTCGGGGAAACGAGCAGCCATCGTTGGTCGGGAGTGAGAGAAAGGAAGGGAGAGGGAGGGCTCGGCGGCAGCGCACGGGAGAGGGAGAGCTCGGCGGCTAGGGCGGGTGTGGCCAGAGGCGAGGGAGGTCGCTGGCTTATATAGCCGCGCCAGTGCGTACGCATGGCGGGAGGGGAGGCGTCGCCACGCCGCCCCGTGACGCGTCGCCCCGTGAGGAATCAATGGCAAGGCTGACCGGCGGCGGTAGCGCGGCAGCCTTGGCATTGATTCCCGCGGGAACTGAGGCGATGAGGACGACGAATCGCCCGTCTTGCTGACTCGGCGGGCCCGCGACTGTTACGCGCCAAAATCGCTCGCCCGGCGCCCCCAGCGTTGATTTCGGCCCAAGCCGGCGAAAAATGGGCTCCTGGGATACGACTGGGCCGTTTTTCGGCGCCGATGCAAAAAAATCGTCTGGGAAGGCTGTTCTGGGAGCGCGGCCGGAGATGCTCTTAGACCGCATGAGTTAAGCATGACAAGGGTTCGGCTAGGTCTGATTTAACTTCTCAGAAGGAAACTTTTGAGCAGTTAAAGCTTTTCAAGGTGCAGTTATAGAGATGCTACAAGCGGTGGATATAGGTGAAAAGCTCGTCTCGTCCTAACGCCAAAGTTGTTAGGCATGGCCATGCCTGTTAGCTGCTGCCGCTCGCTTGCATCATGCATTATGTTTGTTGCGTGTTTTTATTCTTACTTTCAAGAAGAAGGGTTATAAGAAAACTTAAAATTAAAGAAAATGACCAGGAATATAAAAATGTTATGGAATTTAAAAAATGATTTGATTCAAAAAAATATTCGCAAATCCAGGAAAAGAGAAGGAGCGGAACGAGGCTCGGACAGAGAAGAGACCAAACCCTAGCCCCCGATCCATCGATCGATCGCCGCATCCCACCTCATGGCAATGGCACTGCGTAACCTTGTGACCAGGATGGGGACCCCGGCCGCCGCCGCTCTCCGGCCGCCGTCGGTATCCCGCGGGGCGCAGGCGGCGCGCTCTCGGCCCTTCTCCCGTCAGGTTCGTTCCCCGCTCCCTGTGCCCGCTCGGAGAATTCGCATCGCGTATGTGTCGATATGCTCCTCCAGTCAATCCGGATCGAGGTCTCTTGATTTTCGCGGCGCTCCTCGCCTGCCGCGTAAAATATGTGGAAACTTTTCTGAAACATACGAAAACAGAAGCATAATAAAGAAAACACGTTCGCTTTATAAATGATGCAGATCGGGATTGGGTCAGATTTATTTATCCTGCAGGTTAGGATAATATACTCCTTGAGAAAATGATTTAATATAAGATTTTGATTGATATATGGTGTGCTCCTTGAATGACTGCAGTCAATAGTTAATGCTGTTGGAAATTCTAATTAATAGATTCGATGATGAATTACTATGCAACACATGATATCTACAAGTCATAAATCTGTAAACTTGAATAAACAGAAGAACATAACGCATTGAAAATTACCCTCAGGTAGCACAGATTATCAGTGAACACCAGATTACGTAAGAATCGTCACACATCATTTTTTTTGTCCTTGCAAAAAGGAGCTAAAGGCTACCGATGAACAGTACACCCGCTGTACACTATATCATCCTTGAGTGCAAAAAGTAGGTGTTTCAAAACAAGGGAGGGAGGGAGAATATTTCCAACAGAAAAACAGGCATGTGCTCTCTCTTGTATTGTCCTTTTAACATGCATCCATATCTTTACGAGTGGCATCTTTAGAACTGAGTGGCAAGTCATGTTAGACCATGTTGTAGTTGATGTTGGTTCTTACTCGCTTGAATGCCTTTCTGAAGCAGTGAAGCATCTAGGTTAGTTTGTGAGATGAATGGGTACTTGGATAGGCTGACAAAGCTGCTATTAAAGATGTCAGAAAAGGTTAAATGTTGATTAATCCCCTTCTTCTGTCCACTGAGATACCATACCATTTGCTGTGCATTGTTGCAAAACAGTACCAAATCAGCAATACATAGGAAGGCAAATACTACTTGAGCTGGCATAGTATGGTTAATGATAAAAGCATCTTGGTAGTTTTTCAGAAAAATGGGTACTTGAATAGAGTCAATAGACTGACAAAGCTGCAATTATATAAAGATGTGAGATGCGGTCAAGTGGTGATCAGTGCATTTTTTTTCTACCGACTTGGAAGCCTTCTGCATGATTGCAAATTCCAACACAACTGCGCCAATTCATACAATACATTGGATCATACACAAGGGATAAAGAATAGAATTAAAACAGATACAGGTTAAACTAAGTGTATTAGGTATAACAAGCATTTCATTCTTGTAGAATAAATAATTGGATTTTGATAAAGTTATTTTTGAAGGGAAAGAAGGTACTACCTTGGAGAATGTTTCTGCATCCTCCATTGGTTTTAGCATACTACTGTTGTTGATGTACTTGCGTGATATAAGCAGATTCAAGATAACATTATTGAATGATATATTTCGTGGGACTTGAGCAAATTCAAGACGACATTGCTTGCAACAATTTTTCATCATTTACACTGCACGTTGACACCCGAGCTTATATCGTGTTATTACTGAATTGTAGGTTGAACATGAGGATATTTCCAAGATACGTGCCAAAAAGAAGTATGAGTTCAGCCTGTTCCTCCTTGAACAGTCAGAAAAACAGCTGGAGTCTGCGAAGTATGCGACCATAATTTATTCGTCAGATGCTTTTGGCTACAATTAGTATTAGATGATTTGAACTGAGACCCTAATGCTATGGTTTCTGCACTCTTTTTGTTGAAGGGCCTGGACTCAGAGGTTTCAAAGGGCAGACAAGTACCTGGGTTGGACTCTCAAGGTGGTCATGCCTGCTTCTCTTGTGGCTGCGATAGCAGGGTCCAAGTAGGCGATCAAATGTCCATTCACTTTGTCTATAGCATGTTATGTAAGTCTCGGTTTGCGGCGGTTCGAATGTGATCACTATGATGATGATGATAACATTACCTGGTGAACGATGGGTCGGGCAGTTTTGTTAATGCAGCAGAACATATTATTGTCCTGAAAATGATGAATCATATGAGACTTTGGTTAAAATCAGATTAGACAGACCCTCTTGTCTTGTGCACATGACATGGTCTATTGAAATTAGACCTTGTACGCATGACACGTGCTGCTTCGAATCATCTCAAAACATCAGTCTCACAAACATTCGCTCCAACGCCCCTCTAGCGGTTGACTGGCGTTGCTTCCAAATCTATTATTTTTCCTAAATGACCCTTTTAAGAACTTAAGCACCTCACTGCCCCCCTGAAAAACATATTCCAACGTCTGGCGTCTCCTGAAAAACTTTTTTTTAGGTGTAGTCCCCCTGATAACATTAGATAACAAGAGTTCTGGGATACACATAAGCCATCAGGCGGGTCTAAGAGCCAAATATATCGACCAATATTACTACGAAGAGATGAAAAACTTTTTGTGAAGCCAGAGGGAGAACTGCTTTTTTTTAGACAACCAGCGGGAGAACTACCGATAGGCCAGGTATGGGCGACCTCACCCAGGCCTCCACGGGCCAGGCCCATCCACGTGGCGGATGCAGTTTAAATTTGTTTTGTTATTTCTTTTCATTTTCCTTTTTCTCCCTTATATATTTCATTAAATGTTCGATATTATATATATATATATCAAAAAATTATTAATTTACCGATTTTTTAAAACCGGATAAAAATATTAAAAAGTGCAAAAAAATTCATGTGACTAAGACAAATGTTCGTACATTTTAGAACAATCATTTAAATAGAAAAATACATACACATTTTTACATAATTTAAATTCTTTGCGCATTAAAATAAATGTTGATGTAATTCAAAGTGCTCATGCATTTTAAAACGTGTGATTTCTAAAATGATTCACAAAATTTAGATTTTTTTAAGCGCATTAAAAAATGTGCATGACATTTTAAATATTTTCCATGTGTTTTTTAAATGTTGATACTTATTTGAAAAACAAAAATGAAAAATGAAAAATAAATATGATTGAAAATAGATAATGAAAAGGAAAACTAATGCACGGTCGTTGCACACAGGAAAATCAATGAAAGAAGAAATGTTGTGTGTCGGAAAACCGAAAACACTGCTTGTATGCTCGCAACCAACAATATCTTGAAATTGTTATATTTTCCTCGATGGCCATGGAAAAAAATACGAGGAAAAAATCATCAATGTGCCAACCAACATTTGGTGGAAACTGATAGAAACCGGTAGGAAACGATGTTTCAAAGTTTTGAAAAAATCTAAGAAAAAGTGGGATGTTAAGAGTGCCATGTTCTATTGTCATGCGGGAGTTCAAGTTGAAACACATTAGGGAATGCGAGCTATGAAAAAAAATCACTGTTAATTTTTCTTTCTTTCATAGCTCGCATCCATATGGTGTTTTCGGCATGTCAATAATCATCATCATCATCATCTTAACACCCCGTACTTTTTTCAGAGTTTCTAAAACTTTTAAATGTGGTTCCATGAAATTCTTTGAATGTTGGTTTTCATGTGATATATCCTAAAAAAGAGGATAAGAAATTATGCAAATTTATGAGCCTCAGGGTATCCTCGTCGGCTGGATCTCGCCCGACTAGATGCACACAAGCAAAACACTCGCCCGCAGGCCACGTTGATCGATCAAAACACATGCATGCATGATGATTGGAACCGTGCGTGCGCGGGTTGTTTTTTGTAGGCGCAAGATCATAGGGGGTATGGGATTGCACGCGGGGATGTTACTTTTATGACGATGGGACGGGGAGGACGGAAGCTCGGTCCATGGTGAGTGTTGCCGCCAGCAGGAGGGCTAGGGTTAGAACGAAGAGATAGGTGCGGTTTTGTTGGCCGGTTATGTCTGGTGTCGGGTTGCTGCTGCCTAGGCCCCTTATCAGGAAACCGGACAAAAAGGTCAAATTTTTTTTTGTAAAATGTCATGATCGACCAAACCTTTATTAGTTAGTAGATAAATAGATATATAATTGCCGAGCGTTGCATTGTTTCCTACGGTTGTCCCCACTCACATTGATCCAATCCACTGCCCCACGGTCCGGTGAGAAGCACGGTCGCGGGTGTTGACACCAGATTTTGGCACGGTCAAGAACTTATTTCAGATGGCCTTAAATGGAGAAGTGATCTACATGAAAGAGTTACGTATTGTTGATATGAACATCTTTGAAGTTTGGGCCATCACCGTCCGATTTCATCTTGAAGGCCGAAATTATGCTCAAAGTACTAAGATCTTATATTCAGAGTACAGTTTGACCAATCAAGCCCCCAAGGTACTATGCTCAAAATTGTCATTGATGCCTTTGCCATGGAATTCATCCCCAGGTATGATCAATTACCCTTCATGGATTTATTTTGATCCATGGATGCAACATAATTTTTCATATCATGAGAGGGTATTGCCAAATCACTATACATTTGGTTAGTTACTTTTTTGTTGCTAATACAAAGGGGCCGAAGATTTTTATTGGTATTTCATTTATTTCGACTATTCATGCTTTGGTGGGTGAATTCTACATGGACCTCATGGTAATGACCGATCTTTATCTATCGCCCTAAGAATATATCTAAGAATGGCCGATGTGGTATTCTAACATTGTCCTTAAAATATATATGCACAAATAATCAAAGCCGAATATTCATTGTTATTCGGATTGGAGCTTTTCCTTGCTATAGGTGATTTACATAGTGAGGCTTTCGGTGATTCGTTATTAGTATAGTGCAACAAATATCCAAGGGTTATCAATGTTTTGACGAATCACTTTTAAATTATCTTGAGGTATGTCTAAATGTAAATTTTACCTTGGGTTGCTTTAATACTGCTCATATATCTAGGCATGACAATGAAGAGCAAATGAGTTGGCATAGCAAGCATCTGGCTACTATGTTGATCATGGTGTATTGCATATATCTATCAATAGCCGATGCTTATTCTTGCCAACGTAGGTAAGGCCGAACCAAAACCCACTGCTTCGTCTACTAATGAAATTTTTATGCCGGTGAAAGCAAGGATTCGAGAAAGTTCATTGTTGATTATCTAGAAGATCCTAGCAAAAGGGTGGACAATATGACTGATGGATGGTTTTGGCATGCATATCTATGGAACTTTATAGTCAGATTAATGAAGTTGAGAAAGTTTCACCCAAGCCTGCGTTAAAATATTCACACAAGAAATGGCCGATATAAACTTATCATCCTAAGAACATGCAAAATGGCCAATGGAGTGTTGACATCGCCCTTAGAGCAAGCTATGTGCCAGTTATTTTTCGGCACACAAGCTTTGCGGAGAAACAGGGGGACATGTGTTGACACCAGATTTTGGCATGGTCAAGAACTTATTTAAGATGACCTCAAATGGAGAAGTGATCTACATGAAAGAGTTATGTATTGTTGATATGAACATCTTTGAAGTTCGGGCTATCACAATCCGATTCCATCTTGAAGGCCGAAACTATGCTCAAAGTACTAAGATCTTATATTCAGAGTACAGTTTGACCGATTAAGCCCCAAGAAGACCTCAAATGGAAAAACTTTCTACATGAATTGTCTTCGTCTCGTCGAAACGGTTGATTTTGATATAAAAATCGTCCAATCCAAGTTTATATGCAAAAGTTAGTGTCATCGGAATGCAGCCCTGCCAAGAGGCACAATATGGCGCGCCCCACCAGACACCTTGTTTGATGGGTAGCGCGAATAACAGACTGTTTTGCGCGAGCGATTTGACCATTAAGATGACCTCTGATCAAAAATCGTTCAACATGAAAGTTGGTCGTCTCATCGAAACGGTCAAGATTGCTTTTGGACTCATTTCCATACGAGGTCGTTTACCACCACAAAAAAGACCCTCAAGGTGCAGCCAGTTTAAACCGAACAGTTTTGGAAAGTTCGGACAAAACCAATCCGAATTTGACTAGGGTTTTGGACATGAATCCAAGCATTTTCCTTGCATGCGAAGTCCAGCTGCCTCTTATATACCTAAGTGTTGACGGCCGATTGAACAACACACAATCGATCAATTCATCTACGACTTTTTACCTTACTTTTATCTCTCTCCCTTGTTCTTCTTCTTCCTCATTCTTCGTTCATTCTTCTTTTGTAGGGCGGCCAACCTCGAGGCCATAGGGGCGGTCAGTTCGACCTAGGCAACCCATAGTCTCCGCGTGCCCAGACGGGGTCCCTCCCGGGCATGTGGTGTTTCGGGTTACAAAAGCGCCCGCGATTGCTTGCGTACTGCGCTTCCGGACGGGTCTCCTTGGACGTGAGCTGCAGTACATCACCCTTGATGTTGAAGGTACACGGTGACGTGTTCGTGTGCGAACAGCGAGCTTGCGGCGTCGAGAGGCGACAACCGTTGTATAAGTTTTTTTTTCCAAGGGGTCCGTTATAGAAATTGTTTTAGGGGATCCGACTAAAGTGATAAGATATTGAAGAAGTTCAATATGGATCAGCCCAAGAAGGGGTTCTTGCCTATGTTGCAAGGTGTGAAATTGAGCTCGGCTCAATGCCCGACCACGGCAGAAGATAGAGAAAAGATGAGTGTCATCCCCTATGTCTCGGCTATAGGGTCTATTATGTATGCCATGCTGTGTACCAGACCTGATGTAAATGAGTTGGCATAGCAAGCATCTGGCTACTATGTTGATCATGGTGTATTGCATATATCTATCAATAGCCGATGCTTATTCTTGCCAACGTAGGTAAGGCCGAACCAAAACCCACTGCTTCGGCTACTAATGAAATTTTTATGCCGGTGAAAGCAAGGATTCGAGAAAGTTCATTGTTGATTATCTAGAAGATCCTAGCAAAAGGGTGGACAATATGACTAATGGATGGTTTTGGCATGCATATCTATGGAACTTTATAGTCA